AAGCATCACGGGCTTTGGGGGGCCGGCGATCGACATGCTGTAGAGCAGCGCACAGCACTGGTTGGGCTTTTGGGAGTCGATGACCTGGTTTAGCGTGTCTTCCGAGACGCCGTCTGCCAGGTCCAGCAAGCCTCTCCACTGCGGAGAGGGTGCCGCGTGGGCTCACGGGGGTGGCGGTGGGTGGGGCCTGTGATCTCCACCCCCGGGGCCGTCCCCTCCCCCACCCCCGGCTCCCGGTGAGGACCTACAGAATACAGGTTCTGCAGCCGGGTCCGGATCTCCTCCTTGTACTGGACGATGGCCTTGAGGTGCTTCAAGTAGCCCTGGATCTGCCAGATACCGCGGGGCTCAGCAGGCGCAGGGCTTGAGAGCCGGCGACAGCTCAGCCCCGAGCCCCAGCGCTTCCTACCAGGGGCGGCCAGGGCGCTCCCCGCCTTCCCTTTTATTGTGTCAAAACGCACATGAATTTGCCATTTTAACCATGTCAGAGCGGGCGATGCAGCGGCACTTAGCACCGCTAAATTCACGTTATGCGACCGTCACCCTCCGTCCGGTTCCAGAACGCTCCATCTCCCCCGAAAGGGAAGCCGAGGCCCATCAGCGGTGACTCCCTTCCTCTGTCCTCCAGCCCTTGGAAACCACGCATCCGCTCTGCCTCTACGGACGTGCCGGTTCCAGAGGTTTCGGACACATGGAATCCCACGCTATGTGCTGCTTTCCCCGAGCGTCACGTCTTCGAGATCCATCCACGTGCAAGCACCTCACTCCTCCTGCGGCTGAACGACCACTCCAGGGTGTGGATGGGTCGCAGTTTGCTTGTCCGTTCACGGGGTGGTGGCCAGCTGGGCCGTCCCCATGCTTTGGCTGCTGTGGACGTCTATGCACGGGTTTTTGTTTGCACACTTGTGCCCCATTCTCTTGGGGAGACACCTAGGAGCAGGATCGCTGGGTCACGGGATCATTCTATGTTTGGCTTTGTAAGGAGCCGCCAGACTTTTCCAGCTTGTTCCACATCCTGACACTTGTCACCCGCTTTTCTTTTTTTAATTTCTTGTTTTCATTAATTAATTTTTTTTGAGAGAGAGAGAGA